GAATATATTTCATTATTGACCCTGTCGCAGCAATGAATCCGCTGCTTTCAAACGAGTTTTGTTGACACTAGTTGTTGAACCACCTTTTTGAATGCTGTGAGTCTGCTTATTTCATGTACTCGCTACTTACAATGAGCACATAACGCACACATAAACAACTGGCAGAACGAACCACCACTAGCCTTAACGGCTTGGACGCTCACACTCTGCAAGTGATCCGCCTCCTACTGCACGCTGGCGAATCGCCAGAGACCCTAGCATGTATTCATTCCTTCGACACAGCCAAGAGACAGCAACGTCCGCGCCAAGCTGTGTGCGCTACTGTATCACGCAGCAACACACAGAGCATGTCTTGGACGTTGCTGCCTCGTTGGAAGTTGGCAAGGTTGGCTGCCATGTTTGGGCCACCTTTCCAAATCTGGGTATCATGGATATTATGATGAAGCTATATATTATGATGACCGCAGTGTGAAAGTAACGTCTAAGCTCAGATTAACGGTAAAGTTTGGAGCTTTCATGCTGGAGGTTGCGGGTTCAAATCCCGCCGATGACTCAACTTTTACTTCGAAGTACTTTTATCATTTATGAGTTTGCAGTACAGCATTGAAGGTTGAGTTTGTCCTACAATTCTACCGGTATCACCACCAGCTTGATGAAAACTGGATTCAAATCGGAGGCACAAACGTTACTTCACACTGGTAGTGGTGATAAATCGACGAACTCGCTGTGTATACGGTCATCATGGTCGCTGCATGGTCAACCTTCGTCCCAATCATCCAATATCCCTATTGACTAAATGCCCCAAAACTTTGAATTGCCCTATTTCATTGTATCGTTTCCGTACTCATGGTGAATCTATCCAAGATATTGTGCCAAATCCGTGATTTGACACGATAAACAACGTGATTTTTGCATTATTCGTCACGTTACGACGGGGTTTCGTGCTGACGAGGTGGTCCATGCAGCTGCAGCTAACATGTGATCCAATGCAAAGCAATCGTCGGGTCGTAGTACAACACGAGCAACCGCATGCTGCGAGTTAAGCCACACATCTGTCGTAAAGATAACTGACGGTTATTATAGTTAACGTAAAAAACCAATTTAAGATAACTTTTTTGGAGGCGTCGGAGTAGAATGGACATAACTTTTGAGTCCGTTACGATATTTGAGTTTTGAATAGTGATTCCAATAGACAAGACGCGCCTCTTTGACTTCATAATCGAACTATCAGTTTAAGCGATGAACTTCACAGGTAAATTTGTTACTTTCTAAGCATTTGTACTGACATTTTTGAAAACCAATTTAGGATAACTTTTTTATCTTAAACTATGTATGTGTCTGAGCATTGAAATTCTGTGTTTAGGGTAAGCGGTTACAACAGGTTGCATATAATTTATACAAGGGTACTGTTTTTGCGTTAAATTTCTGCTGTGGATGGATGTCCACCGAGTTTAACACTCGACAAAACCTCAGATCCAACCCAATGTGGCCCGTGTCGACTAGGGAACTTCAAACCCAATCTTGAATGACTATTGGCTTCTACGACGTTTTTGCATTTCATTCACGTGATGGAATGGCCAGCATTATATGATAGAGGTTTTGACTCGAACAAATAACGAGGTGTGATTGGGCAATACAAAGTTATCCTAAATTGGCTAAGTTATCTTAAATTGGTTTTTTACGTTATCGTTGTAAAAGATGACCAATAACATGTTGTGGATTCGGTACAAATGTCCAGATTCCGTCGAATCGAATGTTGCCTCCGAATCGAATCATGAATCGACGCTATTGGCTAATCCAATTGTGTGTGGATTTTATTGGCTCTTACAGAAAGTACAAATATATTCAACCAATCAGAACTCCAGAGTGATTCAATATTGATTAGACAAACCACGCGAATTTTGGAAGTTTATAGCAAAATCACAATACAGTACTACTGGTAGTACAGTACTACCAGTAGGAATAGTTCAAGAAACGCCGAATTCACAAAAACCGCCGCCGAAACAGCTTGTTTGACCGAATGTGATAATAAATGTTGTTTAATGGGACATACAATCATCAAGTAAAAAAAAATGTACTTTTGCCTTGTACTTACTGTACAGTGAAAGCAACGCTCTTGTATGGTTTTATAACCTTATGAAATAAACCAGCTACGTGGTATGAAGCGCGAGTAGCTCAGTGGTAGAGCGTCAGATTGCAGCTCTGAGGGTCACTGGTTCGAACCCGGTCTGGCGCTTCCTTTTTTCAAATTTTCACTTTAAAGATCAAGGGATTGTATACGACTATTGTAGAAGTGTAATGTCAGGACACAACAACAGCACGTGCCACTGTGACATCACCAGTCGCGATCTCGCAGGGATGCGTTCCACATACTAGTAGTGATTAGACAAGTATCGTGGTGGCAGGACCGATCACCACAGGGGGCGATGCCCACTGTTTGAAATTGTACCATAGGGTCCACACAGTCCAATTTGTCCGGTCCTCATCACATGAAGTCCGTCACCGTTCTCGCGTGGGCCTTGGCCTTGAAATCATATGTGCAATACACAGAGGCCCATGTCCGGTTGATTTCGCCACCGCATCATGGATACATAGGCAAGTTGGCCTAATTCGCTGGGATCGTTCCGCCCGGCTACAGCGACCACGGTCTCAATGCCGGTGGTATTGCGGCCATGTGTGACGGCAAATTTGGCGTGTGTGGCGACCCGTACTCCGGGGCATCGGAGTCACGAAACCGGAGGCGGCTACAGGACGTTCCCCACCAACATCGCGAAAATGTCATCGGGGCCTGCTACGCCTCGGGGTTTACCGTGGACCTCCAAGTCCAATTGACGGCGAACCACAAGGGGTACTTTAATTTGGTTTGTGCAAACTGAACGGCAAACACAACAAAGAAACTAACGACTGCTTTCAAACGCTGGTCCAACCCAATGGCGACAAGCAATGGCAAGTGCCCCCAGGCAACAAAAAGTTTACGATCCAGTCGGTGCTCCCTGCTGGAGTGACCTGCAAAGGCGACTCCCACTGCGTGCTTCGTTGGCTTTACGTTGGGTGGAACAACCCCGACGTGAACATCAAAGGCCAAAGACAATTTTGGAACTCCGTCGACGTGTACATCAGCAACACGTGTGGCGCCGCTCCTGCACCAGCTCCGCCAACCCCACCACAACACCTACCCCAGTCATCCCAATCTATGCTCCTGTCACGACCACTGGGTACCCCTCACACACCCCTGCTACCTCTACCATCAAACCTACCACCTAGCCCAGCACTTCTCCCAAACCTATTGCGAGCGGCTCGTGCGGCACTGCAATACTTGCCACTACGGACCCACAAACGCGTGCTTTATTGGCTTGACCGCCACGCATTGTGCGGAGATCAACAAGTCCACCATGTGCCAGCAGCCGCCCGAGTACCCGTGTGCGGCTGGCAAGCAGTTCTTTGGTCGTGGCCCGATTCAGTTGTCGTGGAACTACAACTACGAGGACTTTGGCAAGGCCGTCAACTTGGACTTGGTCGCGAGCCCTGAGCTGGTCGCCACCGACTACGACTTGGTGTGGTGGATGGTACTGGAACGCTGAGAAGTGGAACGGCAACGTCCACAAGGTGGTGGGTCTCCCCGGTGGCGTTGCCAAGGCCACGTTCATCATCAACGGCGGCTTCGAATGCAATGTGAGCCCTCCCAACCGCGAGTCGCAATGCCAGCTTCATCGAGTTTCGCAACGCCTTGAGGGGGGGTCCCCGGGGAGAAGTTGTCGTGTCAAACCAGTGATTTCCCCCCAAAGCCCCTACCTCGGAGTCGGTTGTGACCACAGATGGTATCAATGCGGCAGCCATTATTACACGGGTCCCACGACCTGCCACGAAGATGCTGAATATGCCGCGTTGGACCAGTACTTTTCCGAAATGTGTGCTCAAGAGCGCCTTGTAGATAGTGAATTTGTCTGAGCAAAATATTGTGGATTCGGTACAGATCCAGACCCCGTCGAATCGAATCACGAATCGACACTATTTGCAAATCCAACTTTTTTTGGATTTGATTGGCTCTTACAGAAAGGCCAAGTTTTTTCAATCAATCACAACTCCAGCGTGATTTAATATTGAGTAGACAAACTACGCGAATTTTGGAAGTTTATAGCGAATGAAGGGCTTGCTTGCTTATATAGAGTAAATACCGTTCGTAGTACTAGTATTAGTTAGTTGTTAGTCGAAGGCTGTTTCGATAAACAAGTGTCAATGTGAGTTTCGACATACTATACGTATATACGTATAGTAATACTATTAATAGTAGTAGTGCTCTGTACACAACAGCGACACTGTAGTCCCCTTGAGCGACGATTACAGTACCAGCAACACTGTGTAAAGGTCAACTATAATAAATGTTGCGTGGTAACGTTAGTAGTACTAGTATCGCTTAACTGATTCTTCGAAGTCGTCATGCATCATGTTCACCAAGAATTTGCTCCACAACCACCACAACTTTATCACACATGGATGGCTCATTATGCATAAGGTAGTGCATCAATCTTCCGAACGGCATCAAACCTTCGAACGATTTGAGTTATATCCAATCAGATTACTCTTATTTGGCGTGAACATCACTGATTGGTAGTGATAATATTCATGACAGTAATATTATACTTGCAGTTCAAATGAAAACCCAACCAATTATAATCCCGCCAAATTAAATCAATAATGATCAGCGTCATAAGCATTTTTCAAATGGTTGCAACGATTGAGCAGATTCGTGAAGCTGTCCAACGCGTCCTAAGTGGTGAGACCAAGGCCGCCGTGGTTCGTAGTTCGCAAGTCACGCGAACCACCTTGTTCAAGTTCTTGAAAGCCACGAATAACTCCGAAGTGATCGAGCGCAAGAAAAGTGGACGGAAGCCCTCGCTACCCAACGGCGTCGAGCAGGACCTCGTGTCGTGGATTGCTGCCATGCAGCGTGCTGGTTGTCCAGTGACCAGACACGACATTATGATGAAAGCACAACAAATTGTGCAATTGCACTCTGGTATCACTCAGAACCTTGGGCATGGCTGGTACCAACGTTTCAGTCAGCGCCACCAAGAGCTTTCGGACCGAATCGCCCAGTCTCTAATAAATGCTCGCAACAACGTCGACAAGGATGGTATGATATTATACTTTAATCGGCTACTCAAGGCGTGCCTGGCTTTCAATTGCTCACCCAGCGACATCTACAATGTCGATGAGACCAATTTCAAAACAAAGAACTCGAGCAAGAAGGTTGTCGCGATCCGTGGATCACAAAGTGTGTGGGCCACCGAAAAGTCTGTCCCTTATCATTTGACCATTGTGGCTGCTGTGGCCGCAGATGGCACCTTCGTCCCTCCGGCTTTTATCCTTCCTGGACTAACCTGTGAGGCCGTCGTGCTTGACGAGTGCGCTTCATGATGCCGTTGTAACGACTGCCCCTAAAGCGTTTATCAATGCACATATCTTCAACAATTGGCTCGAAACCTTCGGCGAGTGGAAGATGAAGCACCGGGGATGCCGACCTGCTGTCCTTGTCATGGACAATTGCGCATCCCACTTGTCGTCGGAGAGTACACCGATTTGCCAGGCCTACGGGATACTGTTGGTATGCCTGCCTCCAAATGCAACCCATCTGCTTCAACCATTGGACGTTTCAGTGTTTCGTACCTTCAAGCGCAAAATCAAGGCGGCTGTCACGCTAGAGCTACGGGCATCAAACTCGTGGACGTTGCCTCGCTCGGAAGGCGATTTCCATTGCTTCGAATGCGTTCGTTGGCCTTTCCAAACCAACGGTGAGCAGTAAGACCCCTACATTGGTTCAAAATGGATTTCGTACCTGTGGTGTGTGGCCAATGTCGTTGCCTTGCATGTTGGCTCGCCTGGACATGCAAAAAGCGAATGGAATCAAGGACGCCGTTGGCACGGAATCGTGGATCAAGACAAGGGAAGTGGTACGTGAAGCCGTTCTGTACTTACCTGCGAAGCCGGTTGTGAACAAACGCGTCAAGACGAACGGTGAGTAGCATTCCATCAAGGACCTTCATGCGGCCGCATCGAAACGGCAAAAGTGGAAATGAAAATTTTTTTACTCGTTGTTTTTAAATTTGATCAAAATTTAATTAACGAAGCTATGAATCCAGTGTAGGATGAAAGTATTATATAGTGTAGGATGAAAGTATTATATAGAATCGAATTTTAATTTGTGTTATAATAAAATGTATACAAATCTCCTGATGTTTGAAACCGTTCGGCGAATATGTGCACGTTAAAATTCATCATGATTTTGTTTCGTCATATTAATTTGCCTACAAATATCAAATCATGCCAAATCGCAGTTGCTTCATATGTAAAATATAGTTCTTGAATTATATTTTCTTTCAATGCTAAAATATCATTATAATTCAATGGCAATCGCAAGCACTCAGACTTTAAAAATTCGACAAAATCTGCTTCAAAAACCGTTCGGATGATTGATGCCTTACCTTACTATGATGCTCGTCACCTATAAACTACCAACTTTTTACAAAATTTTCTGACTTCTATTTCATATTCATTACTCAAAATTTCAGTAAATTGAGACGTAGAATCGACAGATCTCAATGTGGTGAAGAAATTCTACGTCTCATATTCAAATTTGGTGATGAATTGGTCCAGAAATAGATATTTAACCTTGTGGTATTTTACATGGGCGCATGGATATTTGGCCATATATTTGGCCGCTGAGATGTATCTTGATTTTTGTATGTGACTCTTATCCGTATGTAATATCCGGAGGCAGTTGGGACCTTTAACCTCCCACTGCAGTGATAAAACGCACAAATTCGGTATTTAACGTTTTGGTTTTTGGGTTTAACTACATTAATTGTACGTTAAATAATAAAACCTCCACTCTGGATTTGGCCAGTTGGAAGTTTTTAGATGACGTGCATCATACGCACGCCTACAGTAACGTTACTACAATCGTTCTACAAAGCGCTCTTGGCCACACATTCGGAAAAGTATTCGTCCAAGGCGACACACCGCGCATCGTCGTGGCAGTGCGTCGGTCCAGTGTAATAGCGACCCCCACACTGTCCATGAAGAGAGACCAACTCTGTTGACACTTCCGCCGACACTCGCGACGGCACCTTCACCGCCGCCGCCCCGCACCACTTGAACAGAGGTACTGTGGCGCATTGGCTAGCAGTCCACCCAACAAAGCACGAGTCATTAGGAGCATAGTAGCAGTTAGCGCACGAGCCACACTGGCCGGGGGCCGGGGCTTGCGTGGGGTTGACGGGTGTGTTCGTGCTGGGAGACCGGGTAGATATCGGCGGTGAAGTCGCCGTCGTTGTCCGAGGGGGAGTGGAAGGGGCTTTAGTAGAAGTGGGCACCGCCGAGGTTGTCCGCGGAGACGTGGAAGGGGTGGCGCTGGACGGAGCCGGGTTGGACCCGCATGTGTTGCTGATGTACACATCGGCGCAGTTCCAAAACTGCTCTTGGCCGTTGATGTCCACGCCGGGGTTGTTCCACCCGACATAGTGCCAACGAAGCACGCAGTGGGAGTCACCTTCGCAGGTCACTCCAGCAGGGAGCACCGACTGGATCGTAAACACTTCGTTGCCTGGGGGCACTTGCCATTGCTTGTCGCCATTGGGTTGGACCAGCGTTTGAAAGCACTCGTTAGTTTCTTTGTCGTGTTTGCCGTTCAGTTTGCACAAACCAAATTGAAAGTACCCCTTATGGTTGGCCGTCAATTGGACTTGGAGGT